GCTTTGGAGCCTATCCTGGCACTCACTCTGGAGACCAGGCTGGCCTTGAACTCATAGAGATCCACCTGCCTCTGCCTCCTGAGTGCTGGGATTAAAAGCACATGCCACCAACTCCCGGCAACACTGATTATTTAAAGTAACATTTTTCATATCTTTTGAAATGGCTTTGTTTGTCTTCTGTATGTCATTCATAGTCAAGCAGATTAAAACAAGTATTTAAATTAAAGTTCCTTAATTTGAGAATTGTATATATTGTTATTAAAATTATACTTTTATATTTATAATTATATATATATATTATATTTATATACCAATAAAGAAAAAGAGAGAGGTTGGTGGGGACTTGAGAAGGACTGAAGGGAGGGCATCTGGGAGGGGCTTCGAGGAGAAATGGGAAGGAGGAAAGTGACATAATTCTATTTTAACTAAAAATGTAAAAAAAATTATACCTTGAGGAAAGCAATTTATAAGAATTGTCAATTACTAAGAATAACAGTTTATTATTTTCTAGAGAAATGCATAAGTATGCGATTGTACATAAACTGCCTGAGTTGTTACCAGAACCTGGGGTATGCATTGACCTCTGTAGCTTTATGAAGAATGTGTTTTTTCTACAGATTTCAGGTAGCTTGGTGTTGATACTTCAACTTCTATCACTTCAGGAACATTGTTGAGTTAAAACCATGCAGGCTTTTCATTGAGGCAGAGACTAAGACATGGGAATTGGTTGGCAGATAAAGTTCCAAATTAATCAATCCAAAGTAAATTTAAAAAAATTGGGTTGGTTTATGTCTCAGTCCTGAGAGTTTTGGAGGCTACAAATTGCAGGTCAGCTTTCTAGCAAGAACTGAGATACAGTTAACTCACACAACAGCAGCCCAGGGAATCTCAGGGCTCATTAAGCTGAGCAGTGAGGTAATGACCATAAGAATCTCATACAGAGCCAGAGCCCTAGGGATGGGAATGTTTCTAACACACACAGCCATCGTTTAACTAGAGACTGGCTTATAATGCTCATCTGAAGATTAGTGTTTTTTAGCCTGAGACTGCATTCTCCAACACAGATGTGATGAGTAGCAAGCTACCATATTATTTTCATCAAAGCCTTGTTCCCCATAAGCAATGATGTAAGTTCATCATGCATGTTTATGCAATCTACAGTCACTACCCTGGTCTCCTTTCCATTTTTTGATGCTCTTAAAGTGCTTTATGTGGCTTACTCTTTTAATGTATATACTTTGGTATTTACCATTTTAATCTAAGAAAACAATTTTCAGAGTCCATGGAGTCCGGAAGAGGGTGTTGGAGTCCGTGGAACTGGAGTTACAGATGGCTGGTAGCCACCATTGGAGTGCTGGGGAGTGAATGTTGTTCCTCTAGAGAAGAAGTTAGTGCTCTTAACTGCTGAAACATCTCTCTAGCCCTTACTTAGATCAGTGTTTAGAAAGAAAGGTCAGAGACCAGCTGCCCAGCTCTTAGTAAGTACCTGGACCATTTGAAGAGCCTTTTCTGTTTTCTTTCTTCCATGCAGTGGAGTCCTTCCCCAAACACACATTTTCTATTAAAAGTTTTCATTTTTTTGATGTACATAAGTGTGGACACATTTTTGCTGACTTTTGAATATTCTTGCTATTCCTAAGGTATTCAGGATGAAATGACTGATAGGTTGGAATGGAATAATCAAGCTGAAATCTTTATTCTTATTTGCTCAGTCCTGTAAAATTTAGGAAGGGAAACTTCTAAATCACCTTTACTTTTAATTTGTACAGAAATCATGGAGTCCATACATACTAATGGGGAAGCATGATGCTTTGACATATGTGTGCACTGTGAAATGCAGATCAGGCTAATTTTAATCATTTTCTAGAACAATTAAACATCCCTTCTGGCTTTATGAAGGAGACAGTGTTTTTGTTTGTTGCACACCGGAACTTTTATCTAATTATAACTAGGTACTCAGCAGTCAAATCAACCTTTCCCCATCTCTCTCTCTCTCTCTCTCTCTCTCTCTCTCTCTCTCT